ACGCCATCAATCAAAGCTGAATCAATCGCGAAACCTGAAGAGCGTTGCATGTCCGAAAACCGTAGGCGACCATGTATCATAAGAAGAAAACACCCAGCTGCGATTCGGTCCATTGGCCGCGCCAGGGGGCTGAGCACGAGAGCTTCAAGTCGCTTGACTTGCTCCACGGTTAGAGCAGGCCTGCGCTTAACTGCACACCTCGTCGAGTAATGAGCATTTGCAAGCCCTACGATTCTCCCGCTGCTCAGGGCTTCGTCCAACACGATCAAGCCTAGCGAATGTTTGGCGAAGCTGAAAGCGATAAGCAGCGACCTGAATGAAGTCGGGGCCGCATTCGGATTTGCCTTGAAGTAATCGTAGAGCTGGTGCTCTCTCACAGGCAGGCACACTACGAACTGAAGCTTCCAGAAGTGCACGTATCTGAAGATGGGTCCCACGCGTTGGTGCAAGGTAGCTGTGGCTTTGTCTGCAAGACAATCCTGCACACTTTCCACCAAGCCTCCTGTGGCAAATTTAGGATCGAAAGGCCCCATGGCTTGCTTGGCTACACCCCAGGCGTTAAAATCCAAGGAAACAAGCGTAACCCACTTCTTCAAGGCACACTTTCTATTAGCATCCAGGGCCTTAGACCTTAAGTGAGCATCTCGGGCTGACAATGGCTTCAGTCCCGCTGCAAGGAATGCTGACTGCGAGGCTCCAAGATCTGGGCCGGAGCTGGAAGAAGCGGCCATCGGCCCTGGACCCGGCGCTGGGGGCAAGAGCCCTGTCGGCCTAGGCAAGAGGCAGCTTCTCCTGAAGAGCGAATGCATTTGTTCTGGAGGGCTCGGGAAGATGCCTACCGATCTCTTATAAGCATTCCAAGTATGAGCTGCATGAAAGGCCACTGCCCGACTGTCGAACGGGGCAGATTCATCACCTTCGCCCATCTTTCAGCTCTGCTGCCATCTGCCGCTGTCGGCGACAGCGGCGTGCACGGTGGGCTAAGCCCAACGTCGAGAGAGGGGCCCTGGTTCAATGCAGGGTCCTGAACCTCAAAGGCCCCAACAAAATTTGTTTTCCTCATTCACACTGATTGAGGAAACTGGCAGCGGCATGAGGCCATGAAACAATTCCCACCGGAGTACATGGTAAAGAAAGGACATGAAAACTAAAGTGGCAAACATGGCAATCGATCCATCAAGAATCGGTTAGAGAACATGTCCTTTTTTTTTTGAAACCGCCTTCCCATGGAAGGCTGTCCGACGTTTCATAAAGGTATATCGTGCGCGCTCGACAGAGTTCGCATCTTGCACTGAGGGTAACGCCACTTCGTTACCAGCATTCATTGACTTATAGCTAAAGCTACTTTTCGCAAGAATATAATATTGAAAAGAGTCATTCTCAAATCAATCAATGAAACATATATTGCACGAGAATATAAATGTGCAGACAAATGCAGCATTGTGGAACGCACATGCAGTCGGACTCACTCTTTTTTCTTGAAAGGCGGCACAGCCGATTCGGGAAAGATCCGACACTCGAGAGACAGCCGATCGAGCATCATTCACGAGGATTGAGCTCGTTCAACAAACTCCCGGGTGGGTTGGGTGGGACAAAAATTTCGAATCTCGCCCGATGGCGAACTCGATCCACAAATGACTGCCGGGCGTGAAGTCATTAACAGGATCAACATCAAGGTTCGCATCAGGACGAGAGTTCGCGGCAAAACAAAAGGTTAAAAGTCAGATTGTTTGCCCCCCCAGGTTCAAATAAGGTTGTGCGAAAAGCGAGTTTCAAAAGCAACGTCGCATTTGAAACATAGCTTGAGCTATAAAGCCGAATGAAACAAGTTTCAAAATAGGCTTATAGCTAAAGCTACTTTTCGCAAGAATATAATATTGAAAAGAGTCATTCTCAAATCAATCAATGAAACATATATTGCACGAGAATATAAATGTGCAGACAAATGCAGCATTGTGGAACGCACATGCAGTCGGACTCACTCTTTTTTCTTGAAAGGCGGCACAGCCGATTCGGGAAAGATCCGACACTCGAGAGACAGCCGATCGAGCATCATTCACGAGGATTGAGCTCGTTCAACAAACTCCCGTCTCACCAAACGATCTCAAGAGCTCGCCGGATATGCAGCACTTCGGATGATCCCTCGAGCATGTGCCCCAAACTGGGAAAAAGTCGGACCCCCTAGACGGAGGGTCTGCAGGATTGCTTTGGCTGGGAACGCGGGCGTACCAGGCGATCATAGGTTTGGCATCCGCTTCCTCAAGCTTCAAAAGGATGAGCCGCCAGAGGCGATCGTGGGACGATCCATTGACGCACGCGGCGTGCACGCCGGCGTGGTCGATGAAGAAAATGCCTTTGGCGAAATCAAGATACTCTCGCCACAACAGTCTTGCCGTGGTCACTGCGTACAACTCAACAGGCCCTATCAAGTGTTTCTTCCCAGAAGCACTCCAAGCCTTAACGAGAGAATCGGGCAGTCGGCAGCCAAAGTAACGAGTGGCCCACTTGCCGGAGCTCTCAACATACAGCACCCCACCGATGGAGCACCGCATGCTATCACCCTCCGGCTCGCAAGCTCCGTCTGTAAACACAATAACATTCGCCCCAGGTGGGCGAGCGGAGATCGCCCGGGGCGGCCCATGAAGCAACCGCTCACGAAGATTCTGGAAGGCATGCCGTTCCGAGTCCCCGAGCTTGAGGATTCCCCCGGAAGTCCCGAGGGAGCGAAGCTCAGACAAAGCCAGTCGCCCCATGCGTCCCATGAGTTGCCCTTCAAGAAACTGAATCCTCCCAAAGAGAGAAGCGATTTCCGCGGACCGGATGGCGCCCCTATCAAGAACCTCATCGACAGAGGCCGCCACCTCGCAGCACTTTACCTCCCGGTTGCGCACACGAACCTCGGACAAGTCTTCACAAGAGAGGTCTACCGTGACTCCCAAGACGTCGGCACTGCTCTTGAACGGCTCTTCCTTATCGGTAGAGCACCCGAAGCCGAGTAGGTCAAGTATGCAATGAGCAGTGGAGTCGGCGCTCCCCGACAGGGCGGATAACTCCAACACCGGAAAATCATCAAAATAGTTACAGTTCAAGATCCAGGCTTCCTGAAGAATCCGTTGGAGCAGGCGTGCAACCCTGTTGAAGCAAGTCACGCTCCCCGAGGCCCCGAAGGGCAAGACTCTCGATGCGTAGCCCCGCACTTGGCCGCTGTCCGGATGTTTCAATGCGACCACACAAAACCTGCGATGCTCTGGGTGGAGCGGTAGCTGTTTATACGCAGCCTTCAAGTCGATAGTTTTCAACATGGGGCGGGCACGGTCGGTCTTGATCCTCCAAAAGTCGTGAAGGGGTCCCGTGATCACCCGACCACAGGAGAGGACAAGGCGGACCGTTCCTTTTTGCACAAGTACACGCATGATGTAAGTGGCACACCAAACAAGCTCGTCGAAGGCACGCAAGGTGAGCTTGTCACAAGCGGCAAATGCACTGTTAGCACCGTTTTTTTCACACTCAGCGTCCTGTCCCGAAGGTCGCCTAGAGTAGGCCTAACAGGCTTACAGCCCGGAGACTCAAGGTCTCAGCCATGTCCGTGCCTAAGCACCAAAAGCAACACAGCAGATCACACCCGGTGTAGCACCCAAAAGCGATGTGATCATGCAGCAAACTACAGAAAGCGTAAAAGATTGCACTCGTGTGCACGACACACAAGTTCAGTAAGGCTACAAACGACACTACGAAAAAGGGACCGGCAACGAGTAGCATCACCAGGTCACTACTACTGTACAGACCACGGTACCTACGCGAACTAGTAAAGGCCACAGCTAGTAGTCACACAAGAGTAAGCACGCCAAACCTACAGCGCAGCACAGCTCACAATTGTAACGGCTCACATGTTACCTCATCGAGGTCCCACTCATCTCACTGGTAAGCAACGGCTGAAAACCCACCTGCCGTAGGAATTGCAACTCGCCGTCACTCAGAGCCTCCGGAGTTTTCATGTGGAACACTGCTAGGACCACACGCACACCAGTCCAGTGAAGCGTGCCATGCAGCACGTGTGAGTCGAACTCCAGATACGGTGGAGTCACTGCATGAGCCAGCCCCGGCAGATCAGTACCAGGAAAACAAACATCCCCAGAAGCAGCATTGTAGCACCATAATTCACCACCAGAAAAGCGGCTCAATGGAATAAGCAAATTGTTGCATGAAGGATGATTGTTGCCATCACTGTGTATGCCAGAATGTACATTCCTCAAGAGCGATAGCGAAGTGAAGTGATGATCCTCAGCACCTTCGCCAAGCAATACAGAGTGCACAATACGACAAAGCAATGCAGTGACCCATGGCATCTGAAGTGCGTTGCTGCGTATGCCGACCAGGCCTCCAGCCTGAAAAGCACCTGTGGTGAACGAGAATGCAGCAGTGGATTCGCTGCCGAGTAGTGTTTGATGTCCACGCGGGCTGTCATGTGGAAGTAGGTCCCATAACGAAGATAGTTGATCCTCAAAGAAGCTGCCAACTCGTAGAAAGTGCCTGGCCATACACTCCGCAGCGTGACTAGGGTCAGGTTCAATCAGCGGCAGACTCGGGGTACCTACATAGAATGACAGGCGCAGCTGGAGTGGTCCATCGTCAGCATTGTCATCCCGTATATATTCCACCGTGTGTGCAGAAGAGCTGGACTGTACTTCGGAGTCAAGCACCGTCGGCGAAGTGGGTTCATAGGGATCCGGCCAATCATGATAGTAAAGATGCACATCAAAGCGTCCTTCCACGTACCAGGGCGCATGGATGGTGGCTTCCGGATCATGAGTGCTCGACATGTGTAGAAAACCAGCTCATACCTGAGAATATTGAAAGAAAAGGCGCATTGTACCAAATGGAACGTAACGGTGCATGTTCATGCAGGCGCTGTATGTGAGATAAGCTGGAACTGGAGTGCACCGGCAAGCATGCTCAAGTGTACACCTTGTAATCAAGAGTCACGCTGATGCACGTCGCACTTAAGCATTAGCAAGCTCCACTGATTTTGCACTGAGAGCAGATATCCCCGAGAAAACATTCCACAACCATCGGACCGCCACTCTCATCACCCCAGGAGTGACCTGTGCTGGCGGAGTTGTGGATCCCCAACTGAAGAAGTTCACTTTCATCCGACCACTAAGGGGCCGGACTCCGTTGTGCGCCTGCACAACAAAAGATAAACTGTACTGGACGAATAAGGAGTAGTGTCATCTGAGGCCTTAACCCTGAACTCTGGAACGGTATTGTCATCGCAATGAAGGTCGCCCCCTGCCGCATGGAGCAAAGTTGTATAATGGCCCTCACTCAGGATGGGACCATGATGTGAGATGGCAGCCAGCACGTCGTAGGCAACCGTGCCTGATGTAAGATCATCGTTCCCCCTGAAAAGTGGCAGGTGAAGTTGTCGCGGCCAGGTAATCTTGCAGGTACGTTTTCTGATCCTTCGGCCCGCCTGTACATATCGAGAAAAGCGCAACAGCAAAAGAGCCGGTGCGACCTTCAAGGCATGTGGGTGAGCTTGCGTGTGCCAGCAATGAAGAAGATACTGAGCAGCATGCACACGCCCCGCAGGTAGGTCGATTGATATCGCCTCCGTGCACCGACCAATGTCAGAGCGCTCACATCGAAACTGCCCCGGAGAGTCCTCAACTGTTGTACGAGCTTCCCACTCACCTTCAAACGCTGTGATGCCAAAGCGGGCAATGATGTGTGAAAAGAACTCTGCGCAATCGTGTTGTGTGGCCGGTGACCTCCATCCGCGTAGAGCAAAGTTGAACATCAGTTGACCTGCAATGAACACGGGTTGTTGTGTATGTTGCAGTAGGTTCTTAAGAAAGGTGAGCCCGGCACTGCCGAAGGAGCCATCAAGCGTAGGGTCCTGCACAATGGTCCTTATCGTTCAAAGATCGTGCTTTGTGTTTTGATATCTATCATGTTTGAACCTTCAGGGATGAATGCTTGCACTCGCACATGTCACATGCAAGAAGTTCAAAGCTCGACGCTATTTTCACACGGTGGGGTAGCAAGTACCGCACACGGCAGATATCTTCGAACTGTCGGTCCTGTGAGACACAAGACTCTTTTCGTCCCCTCCGAAAGGAGAAGTAGCCACTCTCAAGCCGTGCACGGCTCACAATCTGAACCTTAGTAAACAGCCTGCCAGCCGAAGACGAGCAAGGCCGAAGTACTGCGAAGCAGAGAGCCAAGACCCGAACCGGGTCTGATGCACAAAGCATACCTGAGTGTCCTCAAACTGAAGTCCAAAGCTTCCTGTGGTAGCACAACCCTGATGCAATCTCTGCACTTCAACGAAGCAATTAGGGTGGAGAGGGTGGGTATTTCAAATAAAACTCTCGCCCGATTCAGGGCTTCCTGCCCCTTCGAGAGGTCAAGCTGCACCGGGCAGATATATTTTTTCAACTGGTTCACAGCATGTATAAATGATGGTTCATAAAAAGGTAGTGTAAAAGCAAAGCCCTAAATCAACAAATCAAAATTGGACTCAGTTCTCTGAGCCATTTTGTCATGTTGCTTTTCTTCGAACGATAAAGCCATATCTTCTGCAAGTGTTCAAAGAATGTAACATAATAAGCTCCGCATCACTGAGTTCATGTAGCAGTAATTGGAGGGGTTGCGCAGGATGAGCGTCCTCAACGAAGCATCTCTGCCAGCTTCTGCACCGCAGGCGATCTCCGGAAGCCCTCTTTGCGCAGTTGGACACCGCACAGTTGAAGGGAGGCCTGTCCTTGAAGAGCTTCCAACAGCACGTAGAAGCGATGCGCCACTTCTTTTCGGAACGACACATCCAGCTGGAACACTACCATGTGTCCTTGCATGTGCTCCGTCAGCGGCCGATTCGAAAAGAACGCTGAGATCACCTCTGAGGTCGCGAGCGTCTTCAGTTCGCGTAGGATGTTGAGGAGCTCCTCCGTCGTTGTTGGATTCCTGGAGCTGTCGATCTGCAGGCAGTGCTTCTCGTGCGACCACTCCTGAAACACCCAAGCGCCCGCACTGTTCATCCACCCCTCTTCCACAGCCTTGGCCTTCGCTTCCTGCGTGAGACCCTGTAGCACCGTTAACATCTGCTCCATCAGATTCCAGAAGAGGATTGCGCGCAAGCTCACGTTGGCGAACTTGCAGTCCGGCTTGACCACGTCGTCCTTCCACTTCAGGGAGGCCTTGAGGATCCCCGGTACAATGGACGGAGATGCTGTTTTCGCGAACAACACCCAACCCGTTGATTGTCTCAGAATCTTCAGCTGGTCCTCGTGTCGCAGGATGATCGAAGATAGAAGTCGCAACAGGTCTTCCATGCTCACCTCCTCCTGCTGCTGCGGCTGCTGATGGCTGGACCCTGAAACAAAGCGTCTGCCCTGCTGATGCCACGGTCGCCCTCCTTTGCCGCGTCCGCCCTTTTGACCGTTGTTGAGACGGCCCGTTTTGGCTGGTCGGCTCGTTAGGGGCCCCAGTGGATTCTCCGAGTTGCGCTTGCCTATGTTGGATCCCGCTCCGAAGTCCATCAGCGGCCCGTTCTCCGCAACCAAGGATCCAAACACTTCCTGAAGCGCTGCCTGTGCTGCTCCGGGTGTCATTGCGGTCGCCATCAGTCGGTGGTGCACTCGTTGCCGGGGCTGAGGTATAGCTTAACACGCGCGCCAGGGCAGTCTGTGTAACAGCAGGACAAGTGATGGCATGCCGATTGCGCTTGTTGTAGGTACTGTTGCAAAACTGACATTTGGTTTCAAGTCCCTTTGCCCAAGCCGCGCAAAGCAAGTCCACCTTAGGTTGAGCCTGATTCCAAATCACATGGTGCTTCTGATCGAAATGTTTGCGCAACCCTCTGGCAGTGCATGACTCGCGGCACAGCATACACTCCATGTTCCATGATGGTATGTCGTCCTTTGCTGGAAGAGTCATGTCCGGCATCATTGCCTCAGCCTCCGGAGATTCAGCCTCATCAGCAGATAGGATGATGGCCCGAACCATACTGAGCTGAAAGAGGACCGGACAGGTGTCCCGATGATCCGAGCGGTCCGCAGTGGTCCCCTGACACCAAGGACAGGTGTTTTTGATGGGCTCAAAAGAAAGACGACGCCACTGCAGTGTACGAGCCTGAAACTGTTGGGATTCAACTTTGTGCACTCGATTCCAGTGCATCTTGACGTATCTGGAGTTGGGCATCCACTGTCTACAACACGCACAATGTGAGAGCAGCTCCAGCCTAAGCTCGTCCGTCAGCATGGACAGAGTGAGCGATTGTATATGTAGCGTGCCATCACGAGCCTGCTGCAGAACGGAGGACCGCTCTTCAAGGGCGGGCGCTTCCTCCTGGATTTTGCCTTGGCAGTGGTTCTCCTCGATGTGCTTCTGAAGGTCCGCCCACCTAGCGAAGGGATGCCCGCATCCACGGCAACGCGGCATGCCGTCAGTGCCATGTTGTTGCCTGTCGAACACCGTGGGTGCCGCCTCCATTCTGGTTTTGCTGTGCATACGACCTTTGTGTTGCCGCAGGGCTGCATCATTGTCAAAGGTTTGCCCGCAATGTTCACACGTGAGCCTGTTCGGCGTGCCAGCAGCCTTTGCATCCGTAGCAACCAGTTGCTTGAAAGCCTCATAGAGCCGACATTCACGCTGGACGATATCCTGCGTGAGACGTACATCTTGCGGACTAAGGATCTGGCGTAAAGAAGTGGAAGCCTCAACGACTCGACTGTGGACCTGAAGCAGCATCTCATGTATTTGAGGCAGCCGTAGGCGCTGTAGTAGATGCAGATCACTCTCCTCAGTGAGGTGTCTCGGACTGCGGGCAATGGCACGAATCTGCCTGACCATCAGGACCCGGATGAGATCAAAGGATTTCCTGGTGTATCCTGAAGAAGACAAGGAATACAAAGTGGCCGGCAGGACAATGGTACGCCATAGATGCAGCCTCTTGTCAAGGGAGAGAGCACGGTGCGACATAAGCGTAGTGCGCATGCGTGAGAAGGCAGCTTGTCCTGCATGTCTGCGATGTTGTGCATTGAGCATCTCGTAGTTGCCATATGAGATCACAGCTCCTAAGTAGATGTGGTCGCGCTTGAGTGGCAACGTCCATCTCTCATCGAGAATCAGCAGAGTGCCTTTGGGCTGCAGGCGTTTGCGCGTGATTTTGCGCATCAGATGTGGAACTTGGACACCCTCCGCCTTGAGCAAGCATACTGTTTTATCCCGACTAATGCAGAAACCGAGGTCCTCAAGAATGCTGAGTGCACGTCCTGCCTCAACACGGGCCTTGAGCAGGCCTTCTCGATCCTGAAATTCCCATCGCAGATGTGTGTCATCCGCGAATCCCAGCAGGTGCGCTAAGCTCCACTCCGCACCAAGCTGTTGATCAAGAACATGTAGCACATAGGTGTACAGACAGCACCACAGTGTAGGAGACAACTTGCATCCCTGGCGGATGCCAGTACTGGAATGATACTGCTCAGACGCGTCGGCCTTGTCAATGTGGAAAACCGTATTCTGGGTCCACCTGAGAATCACATCGGTCAAGTCATCCGGCACTTCAAGAAATTGCAAGGCACGCACCAAAAGTTGTCGGTCTGCACGGTCAAACGCTTGAGAAAAATCCACACTGACCTGGAGGCCCCCTGCACACGATGACCTCTTCTGTCCCGCTCGTAGTTCGTACCAGGATCGAGTTTGGGCTCGGGCAGCAGTTCGAACTCTATCGCAGTGCTCATAGACCACCGTGAGGGCCTGTTGCGGGGATCTGTTCGCAAGATAGCCATAAAGTGGCAATGTGGCAGTTGCCTTTATCAAATATGGTTCGAGGTGCCTCTTCAGGACACCACTGACTGCCTTGCCCATTGGGTCTAGCAGCGCGATGGGCCGTAATGATGCGGGGTCATCGTTGGCCTTGCCAACTTTATGCAGGAACACCAGCCATGCCGCCGACCAATCATCTGGGACCCACGCTTGATCCTCACGCCAGCTTGAGAAAACCTTATCTTCCATGAACGCAGCAACTGGGGAAGAGGCCAGTTTCCAGAAGGCATGTGGAGCACAGTGTGGCGGGGCAGCCTTGCTCGCCTGAAGATCGCGTAGGGCTTGCTCAATGTCCTGCTGCAGCACGTTGTAGCTGGAAGCCTGTCCCGAACGAAGGAGCGACCCTGGTGCGCCATTCACCGATCGCCAGAAATCCTGTAGGGCACGGGCTTCTTCAGCCGGAGTAAGCAGTTTGCCCTCCTTAGTCCGTAGCTGAGCTCGTTTTCGTGCTTGTTTGGGTGCCACTCTCCGAACTAGATCAAAGAGCGCCTGACTGCAGCCAGAGCGTGTGTGGGCATCCGCCTCTTGAAGTAGCTGTGCCAACCTGGTCCGGCGTAGTTGTCGAGAATGCTTCTGAACCATGCGATGCATTTTCAAGAAACGAACCCTATGCTTCCAAGCCTGCACCATAGCACGGAGTCGCCCCACACGAGAACGATTGGCCTCCTCGAAGGACCTGCGCATGAGTCGATAATGTTGCCACATGTCCTTGATGCCGCCAATGTGTTGCGCTCCAGTCCAGGGCGGCGGCAAGCTGGGTGGGCGCTGAACATGAAAGACCTTTCTCCCGACCTCCAGCAGTAGGGCGTTCAACTTCTTGGGCTCATACTTATCAACAGCTTGCAATGCAACGGCAACCTGCTCTGTGTAGCGCTCGGCCAACTGTGGTTGCTCCTTGATGGCCTGTGAAAGAAGGCGGCAGCGCCATCGAGGCCATTCAAGCTTCTGCCGTGGTTTCTGAGTCCTGAACCGTCGTATGGAAAATCGTGACCAAACCGGGAGATGCCTTCCACCTTTGCGCCAGCGCGCAACCTGCCAATCACGCAGAAGTCCAGACTTGTAATCACTGTGCTTGTTCTGCCTAACAAACATGTAGTCAATGAAGGAGCGGCGTACCGGCTTGCACCCCTCATGGATGTAGGTGTAGCTGTTCTTATTCTCTGTGTGGACCGTGGCATGTACAATCATTATGATTGTTAACAAATTTCCCATCAAAGGTGGAATATATCGAATGCCAAACATTCGAATATATCATATTATAATCAATAAAATATTCCAGTCAAGCAGAGGCAGCACAGGTCTTCATTTTCCGCACCGGGGGTTGCCGCGATCCCTGGAGTCACAACGGCTCAGGGATAGGCCCAAGAATATATACAGGGTTGGGACGGGCGGGACAAAACAAACTACAAGCAATCTGTTATTGCTTCCCACCCACCCTCCGCTTCGAGGCGACGCGGATATAAAAAGATCATCACTGTCCAATAGCAAACTATCGAAACAGGTGATGTTGAAAAAGGATTTGGGCAAAAACCCAAAAATCAAAAATGTGATGGGAAAAACATGTCACTGATTTTCCAAAGGAAAATTTCCACAAAAGAATAAAGTGATCATCCCTACGGGAGGATGTACTTATTCTCTGTGTGGACCGTGGCATGTACAATCATGATGATTGTTAACAAATTTCCCATCAAAGGTGGAATATATCGAATGCCAAACATTCGAATATATCATATTATAATCAATAAAATATTCCAGTCAAGCAGAGGCAGCACAGGTCTTCATTTTCCGCACCGGGGGTTGCCGCGATCCCTGGAGTCACCCCCTTCTTGAAAGGAGAGTGGCCCAGGTCGGACGCGACCTGTACCTGCAAAGCCTCTGCACCTCAGTGAATGAAAGCCGAGACGGCCCATCGGCAATGTTCGAAGAAGTGGGTACGCGGCCGTACCACACGTTCACTTGTGCTTGAGATTCAAGGTGAAGGATGCCACGCACCCAATCATCAGCGACACTCGAAGTATCTGCGAAGCAACGGATGCAAGAGTACCGCGCTCCCTCGTTATCAAGATAGCACACGAGTTGTGCTCCCTGGATAAGACCCTTCCACAGTTCGTATGCAATCAAGATTGGAGCAATCTCAAGCTCGAAGATCGGATTCTTCGAAAATGACAGGAGTTGAATCATGAGCTCATCTGGAACCGACTCACCGAAGTAGCCAGCACAGCTGCCATTCGGGGCGAAGAGGACGCCTCCGACGCCACCCCAAGATCTCTCAGCCTCACAAGCTCCGTCCGTGAAAAGAATCCAAGTCGCTCGAAGGCAAGGCTGAACCCTCAAAGGCTCAGCTGACTTGGTTCGCTCGATCAAGAAGTGCAATGCGGACCTGTGTAGAGCGTTCAAGTGAACGGACGAGTTGGCGTGTTTGCAAGCCCTCGACAAAGTCCGGACGGCTTGGTTGCTCACTCTCCCGAAGCTGTAACCTTCGAAGAAAACCATGCGCCCTTTCAACCTCTCAAAAGGCCTAGGCTCCAATTTGCCCTGCTCAAGAACTTCGCTGAGCGAGGCGCACAGTTCATCACGCCTCTTATCGGTGTGGCCGATAAGAATTACACGGTCCTCCGTGTTTGCAAGATCAACCTGCAAACCCAGAGTTGCAAAGGAAGTTGCATGGTCAATCGCCTTCTTGCCCGACCTATCGAAGCGAACCCCCAACAGGTCAAACAAGCACTCGATGACCCAAGCAGTGTTGTCCTTCAAGATTCTCCTGCAGACATTCGTAAAATCGTCGAAATACGCAGTCCACACTATTCTTGCAAGAACAATCCCTATCTTCCAAATGGCGAACGATACACGCAAGAATGCACTTACTGACGCTACAGATCCGAAAGGAAGCGCGTTCAGGCCAAGGAGAAGCGGTTCTTCCTCTCCTGGTCTATTGACTGCCAGTCTCACCAGGGCGCGGTCAACTGGGTGAATGCCGTATTGCTTGTACGCGGACTTAAGATCATAATTTCTCCCAACCCAGCCCGACAAGCCTGAGGCAGGAGACCTCTCAAGCGCACAAGACAGAATCGCAGCAAGTTTGTCAATTGTATGTAGCTCGAACCTTTCGCAAAGCCCAACCGTCAAGTTAAGGCAAGAGATGGTGCAGTCGTCAATCAAGCGAACTTTCCCGTTTTGGACAATACCAAAGCGCATGACAATGCTACAAAGGGAGATCTCGGTCGAAACCCAAACCCAACCTAGGTCTATCTCCTTCTGCGTTTCTTGCCACACTGATGCCTCAAGCTCTGAGTCCTGGCGGCGTGCAAGCTTCGTCACTACAGTCTTGTTCAATCCAGGGGCAAGCAATTTGAGGGTGTCCACCGACATCCTTGGTGCTCTGACCTTAGGTCCGGAGTTGCCGGTGGCCGGCATCCAGCCGGATATGCGAAAGCCAGCCACAACATCCCTGAAAAGGTGCTCATCGCTACATCCGGCCGCCTGCATCATTTCCTTAAACAGGAGAAGACGTTTGCCGTGCAAAACCTGTGCAAGGTAGCCAGGCATGTCGGAGTGAAGCTTATCCTCCTCAGGTTGGAGCTCCTTAGCTCGGGCACTCCACTTCTTGACAAAGTCGATTCGAGCACGGGCTAAGTCACCAGGATCTCCAACAAAGTTCGCATGAATCGCCTCATCTATTTCGGGTTCAAGATGGAAATCGAAGCTCCTGGGGTGTCCTGTGATCAAGGCCCTTCGAATGAACTCGGAAGGCTGACACGGAATGCCAATCGTCACAAGTTCAACCTGAGTGCCTTTTGCTGCGACCTGAACAGACCTCGGATCTGGGACCTCAAGGAAAGTAGGGTGCTCGCACAGTTCAAGTGAATGCAAGACGTCCCCCCATCCCAAAACAGAGCGACGAACAATGCGAGAGCCCTTAGGCTGCGTGGCCAAAAAGTCCATCACAAGTTGCGGCTTACTCGGAGGGCAGAAGCACGACAGAACATGTGAAAATTCTGCGACCAAAGGCCCGAAGGAAGCCCCACGCGGTTGAAGACCCAAAGCCACCCTGGTGCTTTTGCTGTGGAAAGGCACCGACTGTTGCGGCGAGGGATTATCCAAGGATACCTGGATATGACTTGCCAAAGCTGAAAGCAACCGCAAACAGAAGACAGACGGATACTCGTCCTCGTCAGAAGTCGTGAATTTGACCTTACGCCCGAACAAACGTGGCTGCCATGGCTTGTGGGGGTGCGAGTTGTCACGACGAGCCTCAAGCGAACTGAAGACATTCTTGGATGACCACAAGCGGATCAAGCGAGGACGTGCACCCCCATGGCAACACAAGTGAAAACGGGTGAAAAACCCAGGGCATACAGAAGTAATGGACTGAAAGAAAGACGTAGCCCAATAAAGGGACGAGTCAGGATTCTCGACCACAGTCAAAACATCCTGCCCGACAGAAGCCAAAACCAGCCGAGCTGTTTCAAAGTAAAGTTGATTTGCATCCTCGACCCGTTTGCGATCCTGAGGTGAAAGCCCAGGGATCATGTCAGGATACTCAGAGCTCCGAAGCTCAGCAGGTAGCTGATAGCCTTGCTCCTCCCACTTCTTGATGTGTTTGCCTCGAGAAGCACTGGCAGTGCCTGAGGGCAGAGACAAGAAGACCATGGCTAGTTTGCCTTTCTCAGCAGAAATTATTTCAAGAAGATAATCAATGTTGGCTGGATCACACAAGTCAAGGCGCAAGACTTGCTTGCCAGGCGACCGAAACTGATTATTATCTACTGATAAAGTTCGGAAGCCAAGTGAATCAGCTGTTCGTGAAAGAACTGCGTGACCTGCACACAGCTCCAAAATCAAGAAGTCCTCAGCGTTACAGCTGTCCCGTGCAGACGACGCTGGTGCATCGCGAATGTCCTTCAAAGGGCCACTGCTCGGACCTGAAAAATGTCGGAAGACAAATCCCAGCTCAGACAAAGAGGACTTATCGCGACGGCTGAGCCTTTCCACAAAAGACGGCATGTAAGCAACCAGAACCACCCTGCGACCAAGCCAAGGCAGAACTGCATGATGCACTGATGGGTCGATGCGAAGCGGCCCTGCATTAACATCAAGCAACTTTCCGAAGTATGACTTGCCACCGTGTTTAATCTCATGCTGCCCTGCCTCATCCCTGATCCAGATCTGGCCTTGCTCAAAGAAGGTGAGAGGAACGACAAGGTTCCTCGATCCTTTTTCGTTGGCTTTGTCAAGATGAAGCTCCGAACGAACATCAGAAAGAATCTGAAAAGCCCCGAACACATGGGTGGGGTCGACGAATCGAACCACCGAGGTGAAGAATCGACAAGTGGCCGGAGCCAACGTGCATGCATTGAAGACGATGGCCTGGCCACCGCGAACATAGAACCCAAAGCTTATGCGCGTTCCTGCCACGGAGCTGTCCTGCACACTTCGAAGGGATCGGTCCTTGGGGCAAGCATCAAACAGGCGGATGCAGTTGCTGGCAGTAAAGGCGTTTGCATGGAGCATTGTGCGCGCCATCTGTTCGTGGGTATCGGCAGATGCTTGATCTGCGACCTTGGAAGAAAGAAGGCTGGCAGTACTCGCAACCGACAAACCCGAAGGACCTAAACCCGAAGGGGAGAGGGGTTCCCGTGGATCGGCATCCACCGGGACAGACTTAGGGTCAACCAAACTATCAGCACTAAAACCGAAAGTAGACACGGCCACTCCAGTGCCACGGTCTACCTGGTTTGCAGCTCGAGACGCCATACAAGCATCCGGGCTCTCAGCATCAACAGGTGTCTTCAAGAGTTGGCTGAAGTTGCGCTTCATAGCCAACCTTGAACGAAGGAATTCTTTGTCGGCACAGCTTCCGACCTGCACATGCATGCTCGAAGGGCCAGCCGCCCCCGAACCAGAAGCCCGCTCAACGGGCCCAGTCAACACATTAGCCTCCTTGCCAACCCCATCAACGGATGTTCCATCAGAAGGGGCGGAAGCTTGCTCAAGGTGAAACATCGCTGCCGCTTCCTCTCCTAGTCACTCGGTTTTCAAGGTCCTGCAGTTGACAACCGAATGCCCCGGCTTGTGGCATGCCGCACACACGTGGAGACCCTTGTCGCACTTCTGGAAGCCTGACTTCGGATCCTTCTCGGTCTTGTTAGAGCAGCCATCGGGAAGATTGAAACCCCAGCACGCATTGCCAAACTTGGTCCTCGTATCATATGCTGCCAAAGCTGCCGGCTTGTTCTTCGGGCCTCCTCGCGCCTTCGCCTTTGCCTTAGCCTTTTCAGTCGCGATGCGTGGCACCTTGTGGGGTGCAGGCGGCTTGTCATCCTCCGTCACCTTTGTAGGCGCAACCTTCACGACTTGCGACTTCTGCATAGGAAGCAAGAACTGAGTGATGCGCTGATCGAAGGCTAAACGGGACATGACTGCATCAAGAGGCGGAACACCTGAAGGCCCTGGCTTGAAGGATTGAAGGCCCTCTTGTGACATGAGCAGGAACATCTCCTTGTCTGCCCTGACACACTGCGTCAAAGTAACAGGAGCAAAGTTCGGTGGAGGGACCTGTGACAGGCAGTCCAGAAGCTTTTGGATCCACTTCTGATGCACATTGTAAGAAAGCATCTTGCACTGATCGTAGGCAAGACCCCTTCGCATCCAAGCCCACTGACAGCGCAAAGAATCCGAAGTATCGCACTCCACTGTGACACTCGGACCTCCTACCTTGACAGTGTTGTTCTCAACTTGAAGGGTGCTCGGCTTTTCCTTGAAACCTGCAATCACCTCTTGCTCACGCTTGGGGCACTTGGAAGGTGCAAGCCAGTAGATCACGGCGTTCTCCATCTGATGATTGCATGCATCGATCAACTGGTATGAAGGATCAAGCTCCCCGTCCAAGTCTATGCCCCTTAGTCTGGACTGTTGGGATTCCTTACGAGCCCTCTTCTCTGGCAGCGGGAGCTTTCTCATCGGTGCACCATCTGAAGAATCATGCGACACCATGTCCCTGTACGTCTGGATCACCAGAGTGGACGCCTCAAAGTGCAACTGCCTGATACTGGACAACTCGCCTACAGTCGGCTCACCTGTGGCATACACAAGTTTTGCAAGCTCTCTGAAGGCATCCTCGGTCGGCGGGCTCTGAGGGGTTCCCAGAGCAAAGGCAAGCGAGCGAAAAGATTTGACGCCTTGGGTGGACAGCCCCGCAGTAAGTGAGCCATCTCCTCGAACCTCTAGGCACCTCTTCTCGAAGGCAGCCTCGCTTTCGATGATGGTAGACATTGAAGAGAAGCCCGATTACCGCAGTTGCACGGCCTCTGCACGCCCTAACTCAATCCATCACCTCACACACTCGAGCCCTAACAACTTCAAAAGCTCAGACATGTGACTGTATCGCTCAAACATGTACTGCATGCACACTCACTCACTCAGACATGTAACTGAACATGAAAGCAAGCAAAGCTTCAATCTTTCATCTCACTTCCTCGTGTCGGTGTCAACAAACCTAGCGCACAACCTGCATCGTGAGCAGGCCTGAGAAGGCCTGTCATTGAGCCTTGCATGCAATGCCCCAATGCTCCTGCCACACACGAACACCTTGGAATAATGGTCATGGGCCAAGTGCAAAACTTTGGACTTTGTATGCTCATAGTAGCACATGCCGTCAGGAGGATCAGGAACGACCCAGCGCACGAAAGAACCGGGAAGTTCAGCACCCTCCTGACCCTCTGAATCCGAACTGCTGCTGGAGCCTGTGGTTACTGCATCCGACGGCGGTTCCTCAGCGGGGTCGGCACCTGGCCTCAGAGGAGGCTCCCTAAACAGAGTCGGGACCTCAGGGGCCGATCCGTCGTCGTCGTCCTCGTCCTTGACTTCTATCAAGACAGGAGTGCTCCCCTTAACGAATCTACCACTTCTAGTGCAATCAGGCTTAAAGCGACCGCTCCGTATGGCTCGCAGCACCTTGTTCAGCAACAAGAGTGTAGGAGCAGCGGCATCTCTTCCATACGTGAGTGGCATCTTGAAATCACCGGTGTGATATCCCAACAAGAGCAACTCATTCGGACTTGCCCCGAACTTGGTCGCAAAACTAATGCACGTGCACTTGCAAGAATGGCTTGACACTCGTCTGCCAGGAATCGGGTCCGCGCTACCGAAAAGCAACAGCCTAGCCCAAGACCCTGCCTCATCAGATTCAAGACTCCGCACAGTAGGGAATCCTTGGTGATCTGGAGCCGGCATCACAGGGAAACGCGGAGGCTCACCAATTCCCAGCAACCTTCTTGCTTCCATAAATTGTTCTATCCACGGGTCTTCTGTAACACCCACACCAGGCGCCACCATGGGCAGCAGTTGCCCTCGCATGAGCTTGGCACCCATCGTCTTGTGGACCCCCACACCGGCCTCGATAAAAGCCGCCTCTCCATTCTCTCCACGATCGACAGTAATGGACTCTGCATGGGACAAATCCTCCCAGCGAGCTCTGCCATACGTTGCTAAAAGGAGCGCGCCGGCCATCAACCTGTTCCACAGTTCTGCATCGTTAGCAAGAATGTAGTGAAGTTTGGTCAGCTCTGCCACTGTAAAAGGGGAGGCCTGAACCCGAGCCTTGAAGTCTCGCTGCTTGGCACTGCCGTGGCAGCGCTTGCTCTCTCCCAACTCAGCAAGTTCTGGGATACCAACCACAAATCTTGTGAACGTGATGGCTTCAAGAACTGCCTTTCGAGCAGAAGCGGGCCTGCCTGCCTCCCGCATGCCACACAAGTACTGGTAAAAGATCTCCTCTGATCCAGGAAAACACAACCCCCGATCGCACAAGAAGTTGTTGTAACCCAGCAGAGATCTGTACCGCTTGCGCAGAGTAGCAGGCGCCTTACCACCAAGTAAATCTTCAATCATAAAATATCTGGGCAAATGTCCCAGGTTCAAAAGTTGCCGAACCACAGCCAGCTTGTCGGGCCAGGACTCAATGAGCCCCTGCCAGAGGTACAGAGCCTCCGAACGCTCCTTGTCCCTCTTGGCCTTCCAGCTCACCGCTTCCCGGTCTTTGACTGCATTCAAATAAGTAAAGCTTCCGCCAGATTTGTCTGCTGATCCAGAGGTCTTGGCAGCCTTCGAGCGCGAAGAATCACTTTCTAAAAGCACAGCTTCAGGTCTCTTATACACAGCACCATGCATTCCATGATACAAATCCTTTGGCAATCCAAAAATGTCTGCCCAAATCCCCTTCTCCCAGCACTGCTCCAGGCCCGCAGCGGGTAAAGACTGATGTGCAAAAGCCACGGCAGCTGGGACATTGAATACACGATCATCAGAAGAAGACCCCGGTCGGCCCGAGCCCTGCAAGGGCGGGTCCCTCGGCGTCTCCTCTGCTATCGAAGAGCCAGGAGGGGGATTGCTGCTTTTGTCAGACAGATTCGCCTTGGAGTACCATTGTACCTCCTCAAAGTCACTGGGGTCAAAACTCGCACTAAGAGCCGGCGACCTGTCTTGCAAAAAGTCACGACTGTAATTCTCAACGGAGTCTCCACAAGCCAAATGATCAAGGTGAGCTTCGAACTCCCCATAGGAGCTCTCACCAACTGGCCTGGATTCTCCCCCTTCATCAAAAGACAGTTGGTCACTCATCGATTACGGCTGAGCAGAAAAGCAAACCGCACGAATAGACCAGCATGTTCTAATGAAGCGCAGAAGATCGTCACGGCAGAGAAGAGCCCAGAGCAAGCGCACAGCATCAAGCTGGACACTTCGGAACAAGCTCAACAGAGCTTGGCAAGCCATGGCTGGGCCCACCTCTACACAAAACAAACTACAAGCAATCTGTTATTGCTTCCCACCCACCCTCCGCTTCGAGGCGACGCGGATATAAAAAGATCATCACTGTCCAATAGCAAACTATCGAAACAGGTGATGTTGAAAAAGGATTTGGGCAAAAACCCAAAAATCAAAAATGTGATGGGAAAAACATGTCACTAATTTTCCAAAGGAAAATTTCCACAAAAGAATAAAGTGATCATCCCTACGGGAGGATGTACTTCCTGCCGAATGTGTTGACAGCAAGCAACGAGAAGTCCTGCACAATCGCCACGAGGTCCTCCATATCCGGTGAAGGCGTCGTCGGTGTAATCATGCCCGGTCCTGTATGAGACTTTAAGGTGGTCAGATTGCAGTTGTAGTCACCTGCAGATACAAGAGTGCTGCCTTGTGGTATGTGTCCATATGTCTGTCGAAGGGATGTCCACAAAGTAGCGCGTTTCCGCAAGATCTCAGCTTGGTCACCGCTTTGTCCCAGTGCATACTGATACACATTGACAGTGTCTACCCAGCCCCCTGCACTCCAAGCCCTAACATGAAGGAGGCGTCCCGCAACAGGATCATGAAATCTTATGTAATCTTGTGGGAACACCGACTTACGCAGCAAAGTCATGACACCTGCATGGGCTCTCTTGGCATCCGCGCCTATGCCAGATCCGATGCAGTGGTAGCCACGTGTGTCAAAGTCCATCTGTTGCCTATGCCAGGTCTCTTGAAGGAAAACAATATCGTAAGGGTGCTCGTCGAGCCATGTGAACAACTCATCTTTGAGGGAGCTGAGACCACCACAATTCCAGGATATACAGGAGAGCGAAAACTGCGATGAGGCACCAGTGTTTGCAGCCTTGATCCTGGAAGCGCGCCCGGAGTGCTGCGTACCACCTGCCTGATACTGTCCCATGAGAGCATGTAAATCACATGTCTGTCCTCGATACTGTGTCGTGCCATGTACTGTCGCCCTGGCCACAGCACGCTTAAAAGCTCGCTTTCTGTAAAAGGAAAAAGGTTTGCCGCAAGGTCGGCCTGATTCGCCTGTTTTCACGGGGCTTCGTGGTTCCTGATCAACAAGTGCATCCCCGTTCCCAGAGGCTCGGCGGGGCCCCCAACCCTCGCTTCTATCGAAAACATGAAAAGATGTGTCCTCCTCATACTCGACCTCCGGATTTGGGACCGGAGCGGCCATCTCTACGTCATGTGTTGCTGCTGCATCTGTCGTGTCACGCTCCATGAGAAATCTGCTGAGTCCACTGTAATGAAAACCATGCGAAAACGACCAAGGGAAAAGAATACCAAGCAAAATCCAAAAGAAAAGCATGCGCGAAAACCAGATGTGAGTCAGAGGCACCGACGTCAGCTGAAAACCATGCACCTACGCACTGCTACAGCTACGCGCGCCGCCCACCCCGACTTGCAGCAAACAGCTCGGGCCGAGAAGCTTTGTTAGCACCGTTGGCAGCTAAGTCGTCGATGGGCCGCAACTTGTCGCGTTGGCGTACACCAAACCTTTTGGCCGGGAGCCAATCCCCGAACAAGAGCTCAAGTTCCTCCCAAGAGCGAGGTTGCTCGAGCCATCCCTTCTCGCGGTATTCAGCCTCAGTGATCTCATAAAGCTCGCGAGAGTTCGCATCCAGCGGAGCATCGTTGACCTGTTCCCAGATCAAGGGCTTGGTTGACCGAGACTGAGCCAGCAACTCCTCAGGCGTGAGGGTCGCTGGTCGAGGCTCAAGGGGGAAAATTCCGCTCGGGAACTCCTCGCCCACGATCTTAAAGCCACTGGTCATATCCTGGTGCAAGCGGGTGTCAGGCCATTGCAGGGATTTGGCAATACGATCAAGGAGGAGCAGGCGCTTTCCCTTGACCACTTCGGCCACAGAAGGGGGCAAGGATTTGTGCAGTTCAGCCTCGGCCGGTTCCAATTCGGCTGCCCAAGCTTTCCACTGGGTTATCGTATCCAATCTCCGTCTGAGGACCTTAACAGGACCCTCGATGAGCAGATGGCCCAGGACGACCATAGCTTGATCGGGCAGTGCTCTGCACATGTCACAAGGATGGCCAACATTCAAAGCTCGTTCCGCAAACTGAAGAGGGCTTCGGTAGACTCCACACGTAATGGAAACCAATTTTCCGATTCCCAAGTCAGACAGCTGAGAGGAAACCTTCCGGTCGGGTCTAGGGCGCTTAGGGAAAACTACACCCGCCTCAAAATTAACCCTAAGAACCCGAGAGCCGGCAGGCACGGGACCTAATGCCTCCACGAGGCAATTTTTAGGGTCAAGAGAGGGCAGTGCGCCCGAAGGCGCGGGCACGGTAACTTGATAATGGTATTCCTCGACCAGCACGACGGCCCTTGAAACACGCGGCTGGAGCTGATTGGCGGCTCGGGCTGAAGCATTGGTAACAAGGGCTGGTGTCGGTACCGTGTCAAGTTGACCGGCGGCCAGGGCGAGGGCAGATGCAAATTTAGTACAAAAGTGGTTCGTATGCACGAACGAGGGCGCAGCGACAGGAGCCGCGCTAGCCGGGCCCCCGGAGGGGATCTTGGAGGCATCGGCCGTAGTTTCAAAAACCCGAAGCTCGGGAAGTGAAGACATCAAGAGAAAGTTCTCATGTGGCCCGGGACCGCAGTCGGCGGCAGCAAAGGAGACCTGAATGCAAGACCGCTGAAGATCCAGCAAGCCAGCCTGTTTCCAAAGCGCCGCGGAGGCGGGACACACAACTGAGAAGTGCACAGAAGGATATGCGGAGCGGAGCCAACAGCAGAAGTCGGCGACGAGTGGAGCCACTGCATCGGCAAACGAGCCGCGAGCAGGTGGGGAAAGATGCACCACAAACACATCCCCGGCTTGTACAAGCCTCTTCACGTACTGCCACGACAGGGCGCGAGAGAGGTCCAGCGCGGTCACGTGTATAGGCCCCTTTGCACGGCGCCCTAAAGGAAGGGCTTGGAACCCGAAGCTCCGCAAAGCAGAAGTCATATTGCCAGTTTCGGCAAACAGCTCTAGGCACAACCAAGGGCAAGCTTTAACCGAAGACAAACCCATAGAAGGTGCACTAGGGCCGGGGGGACTAAACCCTAGAGCGGGCCTAAAGTCAGGAAAACCAACTGTGAAAGCGGGGAGAGGAACCTCAGCAGGCTCCTGCTCCGGCAGTGCGAACCCCAGACTGCGTAGCAACTGGGAATCTTTTGTTGCAAGGCGGTCCGAGCCTTTCAAGCAGTACGCGATCAGGACAACGCGCCGACCGCGAGAAGGGTTTACGGAATGCCTAACAGAGCGGGCATCGAATGCAATGGGTCCCTGATCCAAGGACACGGCGCGAGCCCTAAAAGAAGTTTCACCCCTCTGAACCAAGGAACCCTTGGGATCCTCCAGAAGCAGTTCGCCTCCCCCAAAACGAGTCATCGGGATGACCAAGTTCTGGATGCAGGCATTCTGAGCATCTTTGTGGACACCAACCTGAGAATCCTCGGTGACGACCAAACTGGAGAACAGCATCGTTGGCTCGACGGCACGAATCAACGAAGTCAGAACTTTCACCTCCTCGGGGTGCCGGTGGACCGAAGTCCGCAGCCCTACGACACCCTTAGAATACATCCCGCTGTAAAAGGCCTTCCCAACCTGGTCACGATGAGATTCGGTTTTGGTCCCAACTGACTCGTGCGGGAGGCTGTCGAAAAAGCTCAGGCACTGTTGAAGAATTGTGGAAAATTTATCGTGCTGAGGAGAACTTGAAGCTGGTTGCCCGCATGCATCCGCCTCGAAAGATGATCCGCCGAGGAAGTGTTCCGGTCCCAAGCTCTGACTGGCTTGGGCATCCGAATCATTTCCTGACTGGCCAACACCGGCCACACGACCGATTGACTCTGACGAATCATTCGTCGTTGTGCTCGCCTGGCACCGTCACTCTTGCTTCCTCTTCGGGCACGCGGAGGCCCCGTGCCCGTGCTGCCCGCACTTCGGGATGGCACAAGCATGCAAGCCTTTCACACAGGCATTGTTGGTCACAGCATTTGTGCAGTTGCCAAGCTGAAACCCATAACAGTAAGGATTTCCTTTCTTGGTACACGACGTGCAGCCCCAAGCGATAAGCTGTGCAGGCATGCGTCCCTTTCCCTTGCCCTCCTTGCCTTTCCCAGCGCCCTTTCTAGGGCCCTTGGGAGTGTAGGGAGCGGGGCGCTCCTTGCTGGAATCGTCGGAGCTCCGCCCACTGGCCGACTGAGGCATGGGCTGGAGCAAGCAGACCACATCATACGACATCATCACAGCAGGGAGGTGCTTGTCAAGCGGGCGCGCCCCTCCACTTGATGACTGAACGCCGTCTCGCGTCAGATCCCTCAGCTCACTGAAGAGCTTCTTGTCTGCAGCCACAAGCTGGCTCCAAGACGGACGGCTGTACTGGGGCGGTGGATCGTCCATCCTGGCTCGCAACAGCCGGTCCGACCACTGTTGCATCAGGGTGTACTCAACAAGATTTGCCTGATCCAGGGCAAGTGATCGCCTCTGCAAAGCCTGAAGCACATGGACCTCCGAAGCAGTGGAGGCCTTGTCCTCAGCATCTTTATTCTCAACTTTAAGCTTCCCGGAATGCTCATCGATCGTAAAGCGAGTATCCTTCTTGCGTTCCGAAGCAACTTCTTGCTCCCGGGAGGTGCAAGACTCCCAAGAGATGTACCTCAGCTCATTTTGTTCATAAGCTGAAACGGCCTTGTCGACGAGTGCTTCGCTGGGCTCCGAAGCGCCCTTGATAAGTACGCCCACGAGCTTCGCGACTTGCTTCTCATGCCTCTCGGCACGCTCGGGCTGGGTGAGCCTCCTCGCCGTGGGCTCTTCACTCTTCTCGATCTTTTGGCGCATCTCTGAAGTAACAATTGCATAAGCCTCGTGGTACAATGCCCTGAAGCTAGCTTGGACAGCCAATTCAGCATCACGGCCCAACATCGACTTCAGAGCAGCCATAAGTGGGGCCTCATCCGCTTGACCCGGAGTAAAGCTGGATATGAAGGCAAGTTGCCGAAGTGAACCCACCGCCGCTTTGACCTTCGCAGCATCTTCCTTCGGCAGCCCACATGCGTCTACCCTGGCATCGAAAACACTACGGCTATCTGAGTAAGAAGCGGCCATGTTGCTGCCTCCGCCAGTTGGCGCCTTGAGAATTATTTCCGAAGGAGCATTCACAAGAGTACCTGCCCCCCGCATCTGATCCCTCAAAGCACTCAACCGGGTCCCCAAAGGAGGCAGAAGCTCAGGCCTAAGCATGTGCAATGACTTCAGCATGGACTGTTCAACTTGAATCACTCGCCCCTCCTGTAACAGAGACTGGAACCGTCAAGAAAGCGAGCAACAAACTCTTTAAGCACACAAAGTCGCCCCTCGTTGCGTCGCCTTTGCGACAGCAAAAGACTATCCCGCATCAGTGCCCGCCTCGACCGATTTCACGTCGGGACAGCACTGCTTGCACACTGGAAACAAAACTTTCGGCAAGTTCTCACAGCGAACATAAGAGGCTGAGATCTTTCTCCCGCACTTGAAATGAGACCCTTCCTCAGACGCCACAACGTCAAGGAACCTTGTTACCTCATGCCTGAAGACAGGAGCCCTTTCAAGAGTCTCACGGACCCCTTCCGAGGGCTCCCAAAGGCCCACGACTGAATCGACGGCCTCGTCCTCGGCGGCGGGGTCCTTGTTCTCCTCGTCTTCGCTGCCTTCAGAAGAGAGAGATATATCATCTCCATCACCGGACTCCGCAGGAGCTGGAATCGATATGAACATGCCGCTTCGAGTGGCATCTGGTCTGAAGGAACCTTGGGCAATGGACTGAAGCATAGAAACTAGCTCTCGCAGCGCGGGGGCTACGTTGTCTCTGCCGTAGACCACGTCGCTATCGGATCTAGAGGAGCTGTGGTACCCCAAGATCATCCGAATTTCCTTAGACATGCCCCACTTCGCAGCCCAGCTTAAAACCGTTGCCTTCATCGAGTGGGTCCCTAGAAACCTAACCGCGGAAGCAGGTTCGAGTCCCATGCGATGCAGGAGGCTGCGGAGCCAGCGGGCTCCAACCTCAACACTGACAGGTGCCTCCTGCCATCCCCCACTCTCCACAGGAGAGGGCAACAGCGGCAAATCTTCCCCGCAGGGGGGGCCGTGATCCTTAGCGATAGCCCTCCAAGCGATTGCCCACGGCTTCTCCGCCAAGCCCCAAATCGGAGCGCACATTGCTAAGTACTTGGTTTTTCTCTCCAAGGTGTATGCAGTTTTCGTCCTGGTGATGTCGGCTTGCAAGAATCCATGAGGCTTGCCATCAATGTAGGCAATATCCTCAAAGATGTTTCCACAAGACTGCATGTCACTGAACCTAGCACGGGCATAGATTGCAAAAAGGCAGCATCCGGCAGCGTACCTGTCCGCCCAGCTGAAATCGCCCTGTCCGAGAACGATATTTTCCAAGGCAAGAACGAAGGCAGCTTGAAGAGGGGGCTTCTGCACAAGCTTTCTCTTTTCAAGGAAAAGGCCTCGGGCCGCACCCGTAACCCTGGTGGAGAAAATCTCGTCCTGGCACTTAAGGCCTAACAGGTGGTGGCAAAATGCCAGTGACCCCAGAAAGCTGCTGGCAAACGTGGGGGCCTGCTTAGCACCATACTGCTTGAGGAAGTAGTAAATCAAGCTCTCGCGAAGAGGGAAAGGGGCTTGCCTTTCGTCGTGACAGAACTTAAGGAACCTAAGCAGGGGACCTGACCGGGTGTGCAAAGTGGTGCTGGCTTTCACCGAGAAAATATCACTCAAGACATCATGCAAGGAGTACGAAGCCAGTTCAGGCTCACGGCGAGCTTCGGCGACAAAGCCAAAATGCTCGGAGTGAGATTCCACAATCCTTTCCCACTTTACAAGCGCAGCAAGCCTGTTGTCAGACATCTTGGCTTTCCAGGACTTTCCAAGAGTCTTTGCTTTGGGCCCGACATGTGACATGGAACTTTGGCCAGCACCCTTGAGTGGAGTGGCTGGCCCGCTCGACGAGCCGAGCGGCGGGGCAACTGCCACCTGCTGATGCCTGGGAAGCTGGGGAAACAACCTGAAAGGCTGAAGCACGGGGGACCTTTCCCAGGGTTGGATGAACCGGCTCCTAGGACACCTCAAAACTTCATCGAGATGCTGTTCGTATGCATGGTCGGCCGACCGCTTCATGATGACAGCTTACCTCCCAAATCACTCGGAAGAATGAAGCAGGTAGGCTGAGACTCAGGCTGCAAGCTAGCGACGCGTAAGGCAAGTGAGAAACGACCCGAAGAGGGAAGCGGCCCACGTGCTCTCGGAGTCGGAGACTCGCGAGGAGGGAAGCTGCTGTTCCAAGTGCCTGATTCGCCTCTCACAAGCGGTCACGTGGGCCTGAAGAGTATTCACCTGAAGCTGAAGCTCGTAAAGATGCCTGCTGATTTCGCTCACAGTGCTAGGGGAGTCACTTGCACCGCGCTGACTGGAACCTGCAGACAGAGCCTCGCCAAAGTCCATCCGACCGCCGCACGGCGGCAGTCTTGCACGGCGCTCTAAGAGCAACACCGAAGTACGGAGGACTCGGGCCTGCTAGATGGAATTACAAGCCTCTAGAGAGCCCTCACACAAAAATTTCGAATCTCGCCCGATGGCGAACTCGATCCACAAATTACTGCCGGGCGTGAAGTCATTAACAGGATCAACATCAAGGTTCGCATCAGGACGAGAGTTCGCGGCAAAACAAAAGGTTAAAAGTCAGATTGTTTGCCCCCCCCAGGTTCAAATAAGGTTGTGCGAAAAGCGAGTTTCAAAAGCAACGTCGCATTTGAAACATAGCTTGAGCTATAAAGCCGAATGAAACAAGTTTCAATATAGGCTCACTACGTCGTAATGCAATCGACCTACCGGAGAGCAAAGTCCGTGGAGCTCACAAGTTCATTCCGAGGAATCATTGTGCAGGGACTTATCTCACCACTCGTTCATACTTCGTTGAGTGTGTTTGTCCTTCGGTCATTAAAGAGATTCATCTTCAAGTCAAGTCCTTGCAAGGCACTCTCGACGTTGACCAAGGCCGCAGTCTCATCCAAAGCCTCGGCGCTACTCCCACATATGTGCGACACGCCTTCATCGATTCCAAGGGAATCCAAGAAGTTGCCCTCCATGTTGTCATACCTGCTTCCGATGAGGCCACATTGTGGACTGCTTATGATCAGACCAATCTTGGAATTTTGATAGAGTACTTTGTCAAAGACACTAGTGGGCTCCTTCCCTCAGCGTCGAGACGAACCACCCTTGAGAAGCCAGAGCAACATTGGAAGCGTTATAGCAATACTCATGAAGTGCCTGCCACTAGACTTACCTTCTTCGCACCTGTTAATGTTGGGGACAAAGTAGCAGTTGAGCGCTACGCCTACTCGGTGCGCTTCAAGGTTATGCACTGTGAGTGTATTGCTACGCAGGAGCAAATTCCACTTCTACACATTGGTCTTAAAAGTCCCGCGGGCAGATGTCATGAGTCAATTATTTCGCAAGCCCTGCTCGAATGCCCTCACACGATTGGGGACCCCGATATAGGGGATAGCGAGCACTTAAAGGGTCTTATAGGACGACGTTGCAGCCACTCCTTTTCCAATCAACCACCAAATGAGGAGCATTGTGGCCCCTGTTATGCAGTCTACGCACTGACCGGAAAAGGCAACGTACGGTTGCCTCAGTTTGTCCTACAAAAACAGCGGACTCAGGTGTCATTCGCAGGAGGCGTCATTTTGTCCAACTTTGGCGACGCTGTCATTCTCGCCCCATATAGGAGCGACTTTGCGACTGTCTTTGGCGTTGATGACAAGGTCACAATCTCTTTTCTCTTCACAGTCACTGGTGTCTCGCAGCTACCGGAAGGACATCCTATCCCTGCCTTTGACCAGGCGACAAAGGAAAAACCGGGGAAGTTCCTGCCTCAATCTGCTGCTCCGCGTCCTCATTTCTCCGCACCAGCCACAGCAGCTGAGGCTGCTGCTGCTCGAGCAGATAGTATCTCGCGCAGCATAGGCAGCACCCTTGCCGCTCTAAAGGAAGTGGGAAAGCATGGGATCGCGAATAGCCGCACAGGTAAAGAGGGAGTGCAGCGTGATATCATCGATGCTAAAGGGGAGGTCCCAGTGTTCCCACCCGCACAGACCCCCCTCAATTTTTTTAGCAGTCAACCTGCTGATCCTACTGCGCCGCGCATCGTACCCATGCCGCACATTGTTGACCCTGGACACGGACCAAAGGATTCCAGAGACAGTGATGGCCCCCAGGCCGGCGAAAGCGGAAGGGCAGGAATCATTGGCAACGACGAGCGGCGGAATACTCCTGCTGGCTCATTTGATTCCAATCGAGTTGATCCTAAACAGGTCCGCAAGCCGAGTGCCAAACAAACTGCACACAAAACAAGTGGAACACCGCGCATCGTCTCTCCGCCCCCTCCACAACCACTTGCAGTTAGGGTTACTGAAGCGGCCCTTCGACATCAAGTCGCGGCGAGACTTGAATCTATTGTCTGCCATTTGACTTGTGCCTTTCGTGTCATGGCCTTCAACAGGCTGTCTAAGGAGGAGCTAACCAGCACATCCAGTTATGTCCAAAGCGCCTTTATTGCTACTGGAGCCGGGCTTGTAACTCGAGACTGGAGTAAAGAGCTTAGGGAGGGATTCATAAATGCTCTTTTCTCTTACCACTCCAGTAATCCTGCGAGCCTTTTCATTCAGTTAACGATACAATTGCAAATGCGCTCCCCTCTTTACAGGGGGTATCGCAGACAAACTTGGCGCTGAAGATTAAATCTGAATGTGCTTGTGTACACCGTATGAATGCAACGGCAGCTCTCCGCGTTGCTAAACATGCCTGCTACACTGTCCTACTGACAGACCTAGAGGCACACGAGGACATCCTTACCAACTTCAGCGCAGCGGCCAAGTCGTCAGTCAACAGGATAGTTATGACGGGAGTATGTCAATCTGTTTGCGATCGATGTCACATGCTGCTCAAGCCCGATGGCTTACACTATCCGCGGTCCTTCGCATTTGTTTTGGAGTCACACGCATCCGCGTACAAAGACGCTGCTTATGACTTACTTGGACACGAACTCATCCTCGATG